CTAGAGGTTAGGACCAATATGTGAAACTTCAAGTTGAGTAAAGATGAGTGTAGAATTTTTAATGGTGAGGGTTCATTGTCTAGTTTTCTAAGGATAGTCAATAGGAAAGTCCTATGGCTAGACCTTAGGCTACTAAAGAGGAAAAACTAAACCTCAACTAAAAATGAGGTCAACATTCATTCAAACCTTTATATTCATTCCTTGTAGGAGCTGAAACGTCTCATCGAGACCATTAATGATGTCATTTCGATGCTAAAATCAAGAAAAATAATGATGACAAAATTATAGAATATTTTATTTACTAAAAGAAATATTTTACAACCCGGGTGTTTGCTGTTTCAGATAGAACTAATTCATGGTTCATTGAGCTCATGTACAACACAAGCTCTCCAAATTTATATTTCTCTATCTTCTCTTCTTCAAAGCGTATGTGAGAGATCCAACTATTGACCCAAAATTCAACCAGTTCATCCTTTAGACTTGCCACCTCAGCTCGGAGAGTTTCCATGCAAGCTAGCTCGACCTGAAGAACTTTCGTATCTGTAAACTTAGCTCGGAGAACCTCCACATCTGCAACTTAAGCATGAAGAACATCTATATCGACTAACTTGGCCCAGAGAACCTCCACGCTTGCAACTTGGGTTCATAGAGCTTTCATAACTGCAACCTTGGTCCGAAGAGCCTCTATATCTGCAACTAGGATCCAAAGAGCCTCCATATCTGCATACATAACTTCCAAGTCCTCTCGCAAATTTAATACACTAGCATCCCACTGGAGATCTGCAGCTCGAGCAAGGGAGTCCATAGTCTCATCCATACGGTAGATTAACGACTCATGAGAATCCGTTCTGCCGCCAGTATCCATCTTCAGATCAGCTGGAAGGAGTGTTAGGATTGAAGATGCAATGGAGTGGATACCTCTTTGACCACAACTTGAGCAGAAGGACCAACCAAATCCTCTAGTTAAAGTTGGCGTGTCGTCTCTATGAGTCGAAAGTCAATGATATCCATAGTTTCCGCTGTCCTAATTAAGCTTGTGTTGCAAGGATAAATTAAAAATCTTAATGAAAAGAAAAGGCTAAGTTATCAATCATTCGCTTTATATCAGAAGTATGGAAGTTGTTTGCGACGAGAGGGGACGTACCGTAGCGGAGATTGCCTTCAATCAACGACAGAGGAGGAATATCTTTTGTCGGCGGAGCTTTGTTTTGCATAACTTCATCAACAGAACATTGCAGTGGATCATCTAGCTGAGGTGGGCATCACTATGAGCAGTCTTCAGAGTGGGAAGGTGAAGCAAAGCAAAATCTGTTGGCAGAACTTGCGCGACCTTTCCCGAAGGTTCCCCATATTGAGACGCTGGTTGGACGGGACACTGATGAAGTGGTGTAAGAGCCAATACTTTTTCGTCTTTCTTACTCAGTACCTCAATGAGCGGTGTGAAATTAACTGTTTCCTCAAGGTCTTCCACACGAGGCATTTTTGCGGTTGGCTGCTCGGCTGGTTTTGTCGCTTTGGCCAGCGTTTTAGCACCAACCGTTTTCTTCTCATCTATTTTCCTTTTTTTCAGTTGGTCGAACCTCCTCACCCACCCGTTTCTTAAGAAATTGGCTGGTACTTCCAGGTTTCTTTTTCTTTCATCTCTAGAGGAGGTGAGTTTTGGAGGCGTGAAACCCAAAAACCTTCAGCAAGGCTTCCTTGCTTATTGGATTTTTAGAACTTGCATATTTGATCGCTTATATGATCGACTAATGAGCAGAGGGAATGGGGAATGGCGAAAAGAAAAAAAAAATATTTTAACGTCCTATTTTTAGGGAAAAGGCAAGGAAATCACAGGAGTAAAATTATTGTTATTATTTATTTCTTTATCATGTGTTCAATCATTCTTTAATTCTTATTCTTATGACAATTGTCATTTTCAAAGAAGAGAATCAGAGAACTAATTATTTACCTCGGGAATATGCCAACACAGATTTCAAGAAAACACTTAGATCACATAAGAAGATTTGTGTTTGGACATTCGTTATGAAATCGATCAGCTATGAAATCGACCGAACTAAATACTAACCAACCCAACGAAGACTGCACGACCATGTAGCACTCTCTCAACCGACGTCTGCCTTCACAAAGGATCAATATTCAACTAAAGACCATCATATCAAACGAAAATTACTTATCTGACCGACTGAATTCTAAAAGTCCATTCCTGTCAGTTACAAATAAAAAGTAGGAGCAATTACAAATGTAGAACAATGTTAACAACAATTACAAGACCAATATATGTATTCGGTTGCAAATATTTAAGGGCGTAAATGATTATAAGTTATAGTAACATTCCCATTAAATGGAGACACAATCATGTCATTTGTGATACCTTACCGAAGAGTTATAAATAGAATGTTCATTTTCATTGTGAGAGGATCCCAAAAGCTTGACAAAAAACCAATTATTATTTGTTTCTTATTTCTCTTACCTTCATTCGACCAACGATCTATTAATTGGATATGATTCACAAGATAATTTAGAATGCAATATCCTAATTTTTCAAGTGCATTATTTGTAAATGTCCTAATAATATTCACTAATAATATATTAGTTACTAGCAAATATCATTAAAGAAAAACCCGTTAATTTGTAGGTAGGGACAAAGTAATCATTTCGATATGCGATCGTTAACAAGTTGCTAGTACGAAATATGAATAAAAAAAAAAAAAAAAAAAAAAAAAAAAACTTGGCGAAATAATAATATTTTGGGCATTTACATACATACCATCTAATTCGCATGTATTTACATATCTTAGACCTAAAACGTTGGAGACATCTTTTCATGCATAGAAAAGGTGAGGTGTACATAAAAATTAAAGTGTAAGGGTTAGAAATGTAAATACATCTAACTTGAGTGCTATATATGTGTAACTATTTCTAATAATGCACCTAATAAAATCGTTGCAAAAAAAAAAGGCATTTTCATAGCAAACGTAGGAAGTCGTTTTTACTAAAATTGTCACCTTTACAGAACAAAACATGATTTTAACGATTTCACTACCAACCCTAACCCTAGATCCTTGAACCAATCTAGCATAAAAACAATCCGGGCGACACGAGAGGCATATATGATCCCCTAATCCCCCAAACCTCTAACCCAGTTTCCACCGATTTGCTTCGGCCGAGTTTGCCGACTTATTGCCCCTTCGGCTCCAATAAGTATCCCCGGCCTTTGTTGGGTAGCAATCGATCTCTTCGACCTCTTACCCCCTACCTTCTTTTTCTCGTCTCGTGGCGTTCTTCCTTCTCGCCTTCCAGTCTTCCTCCCGTCAAACCGTTTCGGATGTTTTTTTCCTCACATCACCGCTCCTCGGCAACTGCTTCTTGCTTTAATCAATACCCAGGTCAGCGAATCTCCTCCCTTTTCTCGATCTTTAATTCTTTGTCCCTCATGAAGGTTTTTTCGATTTCGATCGTATTTTGTATATGTTATTCGCGACTTTCCTAATGATGATCTTTTTGTTGCTTATCATGTTTTGGATTCCTTAGGTCTTCGTGAGAAGAGAACTGTAGAAAGTTGGAAGGGAACTATATGATGGCGGGCCTCAGGTCAAATTTTCCCTTGCGTCTCCAGCAGATATTATCTGCTGGGCGGCCTGTCTCCCCAGCACTCAAATTGGAGTCTGAGCCCGTGAGTATTCTTTTGTTTTTTCTCTATGTTTTATTTTGCGTCGATTTCTAAGTTCCATTTCTAGAACATTGCCGTTTAATTAAGCTACTTTTTGTCGTACATTCAATGATCCTGCGATGGTAAAATGAATTTTTAGATCTGGTGAGAGATTAACTACGGTCGTCTTTGCTTTTTGTTTTGATTATAGCATAGTTAATTGTTCTGTGCATATTTGTCTAAGCCAAAGCTTTATATATATATATATATATATG